ATGGAGTGCACTGGATAGACACAGTATGATTTTCTCTTCAGGCTGGGAAAAGAAAATGTTGAGGCTGACGATATACAGACCAGGAAAATAAACGCTTGTGAAAGGTATGACTGGACTGGCAGCTCCCCAGGGGAAGCACAAATACATACAATTCAAAGGCAGTAGTACCCTTAAATAACACCACCTGGTTGTAACTGCAGCAGCATGTCTTCTAGGAGGACTTTGTTGTGAAGTTGGTCATCAAACACACTTTTTAGGTTTTAGGGCACTGTAGAAGATGAAGAGAGCCTTGAGCTATAATCAGGTCAGTTGTTAATGTAAGTAAGTTAATGCAGGTAAGAAACTCTTTTTCCCAATAAAGGAATTCTTACAATAAACTGAAACCTCCTCCAGCACCTAGTGAATGCACAGGACTTTCTCCAAGAAGGCCATTAACAAGGTTCATGATTTGTGAAAGGGCAGCTAACTTCTTCTTGCTTGTGTTCCACATCATCCTTTCTTTGTACAATCTTGTCCCAAATGCCAATGTAGTTGCATTTTTACCACCTGTCTTCTAGATCTTGCTAAAATTCCTGGCATAGAGAGATTTTCCATATGTAGGTCCCTGTGCCCTGGGGCCTCAGGGTGAAGGTGGGAGCCCTGTTATTTGTCAGGAATGTGAAGGACTGCCACCTACCAGCTCCCTCTGCATGTGCAGAGCGAGAAGAGTGTCACTGTCTGAGGGCACGTGCTGARTCTCGTGGTCACTCACGCAGCAATTTGGGAAGTAAATCTATAGTGCAGGTTCCTGTGAGCTGCGGGGAGGAAGAGCTTAAAATGCTCCAAAATCAGAAAGCAAACTAAACTGCTGATAAATTTCTATAAATCTGATAATGTGTTAGCTTCTTTCACAGTTCTTACGTGTTCTTACTGTGCTGAGAGGARGGCTTTGCCAAGCTCATTAGTCTCTATTACAGCAAAGGGTAACACACAATCCCTCAAGTATTTTTATGTCATMTTGCTTATGGCTTTAAGTACCACCCTTTTAAATTTCATTTTTGCGCTAGAAGTAATCAGTTCTGATGGCAGGAACCTAACACTGTTTTCTCCAACAGTCCTCGTATGTGAGTCATCCTGTGTTCATCTCAAAGAAAGCATGCAGCTTTTTCAACTAAAAAAATTTAAACTAAACAAACTGAATTGCCATGACAACACCTGCTACCTAAAGGAGTAGTTGTGTTTTCTGGACATGCCAGAGCTTCTGAGGCTGGAAGAGAAACGTTTGACACCTGCGGAAACTCAGATTTTCCCGTTCAGTTTGCTAATAAAGAAGGTCTCTGCTGTAATGCAAATGCTGTTAACTAGCCTGGGGGAAAACTGATTGCCAATTAAGAGGCAAATTCTTCCAATCACATCACCAGTCATACTGTCTTGTCTGGGATTAACCGAGAGACAGAGGGAGAGATGTTATAAGCAGGGATTTTTCTCACGTGGAGATCCAGGCAACATGAACAGCAGTACAGAGAGGATCATTAATTCAAAATGTAATTCACTTAATCAACTAATTAAAATAAAGCACTTTTGTTGCTGTTTGCAGGTAGGGCTCTGAAATGTAATTAGCTCCTGGAGTGATTCCATGAATCTTTGCATCTTTTCAAAATTTTCAAGTTATTTCCCTGAGTTGTAAAGAGGATTTTTCTGAARTTTCACCTGCCTTTAGTGTGGTATTTAGTTGGCCTTGTGTTACAAGAGCCACGGTGGTGGATGTAAAGGATAACCATATGCTTTCGAGATCCCTAAGTAAAAAGCAGCACAGAAGGGTCAATAACTATTATTAGCAGCCTGTTTCTTTTTCTGCTTTAGCTGTAGCACCTATTAGTGATAGTTTTCTAGTACTTTGTTCTATACAACTATTTGTCTCATTCAAGGACAGGTTTCCAGAGCTGAAATCGTGGCYGAGTTTTTCCGTGGATGAGAGGCCACTGATGTCTGTCTTGCAGCTTGAAAAGGCTGCTAAAACCAGGGAGATGCCTGCTGGATCCTCCCTGCATCTGCTTTCAGAGCATGCAAGCCCAGTGAGCACTTTCAGGCTTGATAATGAGAGCCGTGGCCAAGGGTCCTCTGGTAGGATGTCTGGAGATGTGAGCCAGTTGACTGCACATGGACAGTAACGGATGTCATGGGCTTTAAAATAGCTCGCTGCTGCTGGCAGAGCACATTTCAGAAGTTAATTATTGCCATAATGTAACACAATTGTCCATCTATCCTGGGACCTGCCTCTCACAGCGAGTTGTGCACGTTGCTCCTGGGGAAGATGAAAACCCCACAAGCACAGGGCAAGACAGACATGTTTGCAAACCTCTCCAGATGAGCGTGTGTCCCATAGGGCTCCCATTTTCAGCAGTGTGAGCTAACCTTCCGTCACTGTGAAATGCTTTAAGACCAACAAACTCATCCAGAATTCCTTTTAAAATTTGCAAACTGAGCCAGGTTAACTATGGCAGCTGCCTATTCTGTGCTGCATAAAGATTTACGAACTCCTCTTTTATCAGCGAAGATGCAGAAAAGTGACTGCTTTGCCTTCACAGAAATACTGCAATATTCAGGGATCCAAAAGTCCTTGTGCTTCTTCCTGCATGGAAGCTCAGTAGCCAAAGTAACTAGAAGAGGGTTTCTCATGTGGTTTGTTTTACAACTTCCATGTGGAATGTGTGTTGAGATCCTTATTGAAAATCTTAATACAAGTGCATGAAAGGGCACTTAATCAAAATGAACTCAGCCCTCCGAAGACATCAATTATAGAACTAAGTGCTTTTGAAAGTGCTAATATATGCACTTGTCACAATATTATGTGCCGAAACGTTTTTCAAGTTTTTATTTTAAAAGTAAAASTACAAAGGGATCTCAGTTTGCTTTTAAGTGAAGTAAGTAGCTGTAAGTAAACGTTGTCAACCTATTCCACACCTTATATTAAGACTGATGGGTAATTCTGCTCTGCTTTGTAGCCTGGTAGAGTCATGGCCACGCCACACATAGCATCATGCCAGATGAACAGCCTGGCATGATTAAGCTGCATCAGATTTTTGTGCTGATGTGATTCTGAGTAGTGCAGATTAGAGAAGGTTGGCTTGGTGACTACGAAAGGCTTTATATATATATATATAGTTATAAATATCATGCAGTCAAAATTCTGAGAAGATTTTGAGTAGAATTAGATTACATTTTGGATGGATGCTTCCTTAAAAGGAACTGGTCTTTCAATCAATTCATCAGTTAAGATGTAAAATGTATTCGCTCCTTGTTTTGCCATGCGTAGTACTCTCCRGGTGGAGATTAGGGGAGAAGAAGAATGGAAGAGTGGAAATGAAATGTACCAAACAGTTGAAAATCTTGGAAATGTGGGAATTTTCTATTCCCATCAGAACTATCAATTTAGGAAGATTTTGAAGGAAACAGATATGTGCATTTTTTTCCTCACTGTTTTCAGTGAAACGTTTGGGCTACTAAAATCTCCCTGTTGTTAGGTCACTGTGCTGCTGGGGATGGTGGGTTTTCAGATGAGAAGGGAGATCGATACCCAAACTCTTTGTGGTTATTAGAAATGTTTCACAAAATTCCAGGCCTTTTTCATCCCCGTGTCTTGGCGAAGACCCACATTCTGTCCCACCTGCATAAAGTTGCATTTAGCCACAATATCTTAGCCCTTTGGTCACAAATGTATTAAAATATTGTGAATGCTGTTGAGTAAGGGCTTCATTTTCATTCCAGAGAGACCAGCACATAAACGGCAAATGAAACAACCTTCTAGATAACAGCACCTCAGTGTCCCTTGGGATCCTCTGTTACCATTTTAATAAACCTGGTGAGGTACCGTGGTGCCTGTCAGTGATAACCTGGTCCAAGCAAGCTTAGGTGGAAGAAACCCTATGCAGGATAGCGTGCTGGTTCATCTCAGTTTGGGTGTTTGCCCTTCCTGGTGCTGTGTGTAACTTGTCTTTTTCCATTAGCAAAGCAAGGAGGTTGTTGTCTACTCGAAGGCTACTGCGGTTCTGCTTGGTAGACCTGAGGCTGCTGGAATGATCCCAGCTGTGGCATGCAAGTGCATTCAAACTTCTAAGCGTGGTTTGAGGGGGATTTTCTTCCTGTCAGATAGGTGCCAAGCAGCAAAATGGGGGTGGAGAAAATCATTTGTTTTTCTTTTTTTTTTCCTTCTTTTTTTTTTGTCTTTAATGCAGTTTTGCACACATCCTGTTCTTATTCAAACTTGTGAAAGCCCTGCGTACTTCCCAGAGGTCAGCATGGCTCCCCAGCTCCATTCCCTATTAATTTCCTCTCTATTGAGAATACCAGTTAATGAAGATTACGACAATTTAGACAGCTCCCTCCCTCTCCCCTCACTTTTGTGGATGTGTCATGGAGGCTGTCCCCAGCCCTAATAAGCCATCGTGGGATCAGCCAAGAATCAGCCTGAGCCTGCCTTGTTCTGTATTTTCTGTCTGTGCCAGGATGCAAAGAGAAAAGACAGAGAGGGCTGAGTTTAATTGCTCAGTATTGTGCACGTGAGAGTAATCCAGAATGGTAAATTCAATCCAGGTACAGGGTTATTTTATATTGCTAGAGCTGTGCATTGCAATGTTTATCAGTTGATACATATATTTACCTGATTAGCTCTATTAATTTAGAATTACAGCTGGTAGAAAGTCACATCTAAATCTATCATTCAACAGAGAGATGATATATTGTTAGATCTTCCAAAGGCAAAGAAACCACAGAAATATTACCGATCTTGTGTCATTTTTTTAAATGATAGTTGCTGAAGTGACCTCCCCTGTGTCTCATTGACAGAGAGGTATATGGCCTTGCTGGTTTGCACATAGCATTTTTTTCCTGATTTTCCTGTATAATAAGTGGTAATTGAAAAGTCTCTGTCAGTATGAACTCAGTTCTGTCCTCAGCATAAGAAGAATGTCTCATGGAGCTGGCAGTCCTTCCACGTGTTACATACCTGTTTTCTTTTGCAGGTTTTTAACTTATTCCTACCTTCTGGCCTTCAACGCCTGGCTCCTGCTGGCACCCATAACTCTGTGCTATGACTGGCAAGTGGGCAGTATCCCTCTGGTCGAGTCCATCTGGGATGTGAGGAACTTAGCCACAGTCTTCCTGGCGCTGGTGCTGGTGCTCCTCAGCCTACACTGTGTAGCTGCATTCAAGGTAAAACACCAAAAAAATGTGCAGTGGAGTGTGTTGCTCAAAATCTTTTGTTCCTTCATCTTCAGAGAAAATGGCTAGTGAGCACAGATAGGATTTTCTCCCAAATAAATTGGAGTGAGATTAAAAATACACCCACACAACTAAAGTGGGCAAACTTAGCAGATGAAAATTTSCCACTGACTGAATGTCTTGATCTCTAATTGGTCTGATCTGAGGGCAAAACTTGGCCTCGGATCCTGCATTCAATTACTGTTAATGATCCAAATCCCAGTGAAGTTAGTTGGAAGTTTCAGTCTCCCTCCAAATCAATAGACTCTTTGTCTCTTGCTTCAAACGGGACTGTGAACCATCATCTGCAGAGCTGTTTGAAAATGAAATCAATTRTTATGTCCATAGCTTTACTGTGTTTGCTGGCACCTAAATCTTGGATATGTCTAAATGAGAAGATTTGACATCACAGAATAATGAAATGCTGCAAGTCTGAAATGGGTTGGAAAGTGTTGTTTAGCATAAATATTAGTCTTTGAATCTAGCTTCACAACTCAGCATTTCAGATCCACCATTAGCTTTATTGCAGAAATAAAAGTGACGTTATACTAGACCTGTGGGGCATAAGGGATCAGTGTGGATTTATGCAGAGGGAGGGTATCTTCATAGGTTATCGGGAGCCGGAAACTTTTCCTTCTGCAGTTGTGTTTTGAAAGTGTCCTTAGGTAGGAAATTGGTAAAAATTTCTAAAATACTACAAAAAAAGTCCTTCTAAAACAAATGGCTTATKCAGCCAAAGAATATTGAAGGGGGTGACAGCTTTTTTAATACCTACGTTATGCTAAGATGTGCAGGTCATGTGCAGGCTTCAATTTACCCTGACAATCTTCTCAGCACTCCTGATAAGAAACAGAAAGCAAACAAAACCAGTTTGAGACTGCAGAGTCATTAATTTAGATTATACATTGACAGATGCTGTATGGAAAACACGGAAATATACTCTATTAGGTATTCACTAGTTCTGCCTGCATCGTCTTCCATTCCTTCAGCTTTCATTACTCACTGCTAGAGATATTCCAAACTGTTTGTCTTAGACCTAATCCTATTCTGGGGGAGGTTAATGATAAAATTCTCATTAGCCCAGCACTGAACACTTCTGAAAAGTCTTATCCCATTTTTCTTTGGAGTTTCTGTTGTTCTTGCTCTCCATTTCTGCCTCTGTTTTAAGAATTGGTCCTGTGTGGAAGATTGATGTTGTGCATTTSCTGGAAAAAAAAATCTTTTGGGATAATCTAGTTCTTTTGTGTGTGTTATTTTTGCATAAAACGACAATCCAGAAGAATTCCTCTGGGTAAATTAATTGTGTCTTCTGTCAAAATTCAGAACATAGGATTTCAAAATGCTTTGTGTATTGATTATGTAGATTCTGTCACATTTTTATCCCTTCCTATTTTTTATTCAAGAAAAAGGGTTATCAATAGCTCTGTTTGACTTGAAACTGCAACTTCTAGATTTTGGTGAGAATCAATTCACTTCTCTCTTCTAATCCCTGTTAATGTTGTGTTAAGTGAAGTGAATTGCACTCTCCAGGCACGTACTTACTGGTTGCTTTGAGATCCATCTTTTAGATGCCCTTGTGCTAATGCTTGAAAACCCCAAGCACAGCACGATTTGGATCCCAAGTGGTGTGCGTTGGTTCCTGAAGAAGGTAAAGCCAGAACCATCACAGAGTTTTGCCTGAAAGCTTTAACTGGCTTCAGCTCACCAGCCCCCAGGAAGCCTGGTGTGATCCCAGGAGCTGGTGGCTCCATGTGGTCACACAGAGACCATGCTGTGTCCCATCCCTGGCAGAAGGCTTGTGACTCTGCAGTTTGTAGGCAGCATCAGGTGGTTTTTCACATTTCTCGACGTGTAAAATTCTGCTTTCTTATTGAAGCATTCGGAAAATTCTGCCTTCGTATTGAAGCAAATGCACACAACTATCTAAGCTGCCTTTCTCTCAATTTTTTCAAAGCAAAGTCTAACCTAAGCTAAAGCTTATGGTTTTCTAAGGAATGGTTTCAGTGTGAACAGATAGTTTGAGTGTCTTTCATTTTTTCATTTGAGTGTATAGGCTAAGAGAGGACGCAAAGTCATATATTCATTCTGGTTGGTGCTAATGTTTCCGTATGAGGAAGAACGAAAGAAGTTCTTTCTGTGAGGGTGCCAGAGCCCTGGAACAGGCTGCCCAGGGAGGTTGTGGAGTCTCCTTCTCTGGAGATCTTCCAAACCCGCCTGGATGCCGCCCTGTGCCCCGTGCTCTGGGTGTCCCAGCTGGAGCAGGGGGTTGGACTAGACGGTCTCTAAGGGTCCGTCCAACCTCAACCATTCTGTGATTCTGTGAACGTTTTCTTTTCTGCAGCCTGTGAAATGGGAACGTTATGAATGGCTTGGGCAAAATTCGCTTGTGCAGTGAACACTGAATTGTTTACTGGTAGCAATAGGTGGGGTGTGTGTGTATCCACAAAACAAGCTCACAGGATACTTCCAGAATATATTACATGGAATGTAATTAGTGAATGCATGTATTCGATTTCTGGCTTTTGTTGCCTTTGAATTTTAAGCAGGTCTGATTTGTTGTTGACACTTGTGATTAGGGTAATARCCCTGTTGGCATGTATGTGTAGTGCTGATAAAGGACATCTAAGGCATGAAGGTTTCTTGTTCCATTTCATTTTGTGAATATTGTTATACTTCAGTGCAAGGTTTCTACCCACAAGTGCTTTGCTTGGAATATGTCTGTGTATTAGATTTGGCAGAAATCTATGCTGAAAGCTACAGAAATAGAAAAGGCAGCTGCCCAGTTTGTTATTGGCTAGAGGCATAAAACCCACTCCTCATCCTCTTTGTGTGTTTTTATCGATCTCCTTCCGGCTTAATGAGGAAGCAGCTTGATAAATCGCATTATTAATTCCTTGTATGCACCCTTCGTTATTAACCTCCAGTTATGATTAACCTGATGGTGTACCATCCCTCCTTGGATGCCAGTGCAGGTACCCTTCTTGCATGTGCRTGGTGCTAATCCCTCTTGTTTATCACGGAATCACAGAATGGTTGAGGTTGGAAGGGACCTCTAGAGATCATCTAGTCCAACCTTCCTGCTCCAGCAGGGACACCCAGAGCACGGGGCACAGGGCAGCATCCAGGCGGRTTTTGAAGACCTCCAGAGAAGRAGACTCCACARCCTCCCTGGGCAGCCTGTGCCAGGGCTCTGTCACCATCACCGTGAAGAAGKTCTTCCTCACATGCAGATGGAACTTCCTGTGCTTCARCTTGTACCCATTGCCCCTTGTCCTGTCACTGGCCCCCACCGAGAAGAGTTTGGCCCCTTCCTCCCTACATTCTCTGCTTAGGTATTTGTACATATTGATAAGATCCCCTCTCAATCTTCTCTTCCCTAGGCTAAACAGATCCAGCTTGCTTAGTCTTTCCTCGTAGGACAGATGCCCCAATCCCTTAATCATCTTTGTCGCTCTCCACTGGACCCTCTCTAGAAGCTCCACATCCCTCTTGCACTGGGGAGCCCGGACCTGCCCCCAGTACTCCAGGTGCGGCCTCCCCAGAGCTGAGGAGAGGGGCAGGATCCCCTCCCTCATCCTGCTGGCAACACTCCTCCTGATGCAGCCAGGATCCCATTGGCCTTCTTGGCCATGAGGCCGCACTGCTGCCTCATGACGTTTGGTGTCAGACAGGAATTATCGACCAAAGGGGAGGGAAGGGACACGTGCCCTGTGCACGGTTCCCCGTTGCACATGATATTTAGTCCTCCAGATGCCATCAGGAGGAAGGAGAAGGCCGGCTCCCTGTCACACTTTCAGCAGTCTCTGCTGTGAGAGTGAAGGAGCTCACCATTATCCAAGATTTTGTCTGAGATTTTTCCAGCAAAAAATTGGCAAAGTTGCAGTCTGGTTTTAAGCATCTCCTTGAAATATTTAGAGACTTGGCTTTTCAGCATGCATTTGGTCTGGCTTACTCTGTGGTGCAGCCTCTGCTGAGCAGCTTTTAGCCAAAGTGCCAGAATTCTTGTGTTGGTCTTGGAAAACTCACTTCCCATTGTCCTTAGGGCTTGTTTAGTGCTGAACCTTCTCACCTGGCCTGACCTGCCTTCAGGTAATGTACTGAGACTGGGACAAAAATCAGGAAGCGTTGTAAATGCCTACATCCCAGAGAAACAATCATTATTGGGGGGAAAAAAAAGAAGAAGGGATTTGGTTATTTGTGCTCAAAGACAACAACAAGGAATAGCTTGGATCTCCTTTCCAGTTTGGAGACCAGGTAGATGGCAAAACTGTCAAGGAAATGGATGAACTGCCTTTGCATCCCAGCTGCCAAGCAAGCAGTTACAGACAATAACCACACCAACGCCYCAAGTGGCTACTCGTGAGCCCCAGGGCTTAGTGCTCTGCTTTCTGTCCTGGGGTAAACAGGGAGATCCTGGAGAAATAGTGGGAGGGAAAGAATTCCTGGCATATTGTCAGGATGACAACTGTTCCTTTGACATGGCATAATAATTCAATGAGCCTGAAAGGAAAAGTCTTTGGATGCTTGAAACGCTGCTCTATGTGGCATTTTTAGGTCGCTGCTTAATTACCTATGTGATTAAAATGCAATTTGTGCTGTAGCTGTAAGTTTATGTATAGCTATACAGAGCGCTTGATGGATCTGATTCCACTTTCCATATTGTGTCAAAACCCTTGGGAGAATATCCCTGCCAGGGTCAGGGCTGGAGAAACCAGGACATATGTGTAAGGGAGCCGTCCAGAGCGAGGTAAATCCTGGAAACTCGTGCAAAGCTGTGGCTGTCACACCTGCCTGCTCGGGAGGAATTTCATACCCTTCATGTCACTCAGGCCTCACCTGGCATCTACACTCCTGACCAGTGCTGCCCAGTGGCCCTTCACAGCACGGTCTGTCTCACCTGCAGGAATAAACAGCCCGTGTGCAGCGGTTTGTTCCTGCCTGAGGAGGGAATG